TTGAATACCCCAAGACTTATAGAGATTTCTAAAAAGTTTTAATCGAATACATCGTGACTTTTAGAGACTTTTTAAAAGTTTATAAAAATCTCAATTGAATACACAAATACTTTTAGAGAGGCTTCAAAAGTCTACATTGAATACCCCTAAACTTTTTAAATCCCAAAAAGTCATTAAAAGTCTCGATTGAATACACCCCCCTTAATGTTGGTGTCTATGTCATGGTTCCACTTGCCCCGGAATGGTTTCCGCCTCTTACCCAATATTAAAAGATTTGGAACTAATGTATATCTACTTGATTTGCCAATGCGCTTCAATATTAGTTCAGTTTTTAATATAACAGACTTGTAGCCTTATTGAAGTACGTTAGAGCCTCCAATAATGTCATCTCCATCTCCACAGGTAGGGGTACTTGCCCACCTCCTTGAGCTCCAACTACTATGTTTTCCCCTAACTATATCATTGATGAGGTGCTTGAGAATCAAGTTGTTGCTCAAAGTATATTCGAGGTGCAAAAGAGCTAAATTAATTAAGGTTTCATTAATTCCAATTTTGTTATGTTAGATTTATCACCTTGTTTGGTTTCCTACCTCAATTAGACTGTGTAAAACGGTATATGAAGAGGGTAAGTACTTTGATTAGAATTTCACTTTGATTATTGAATACAAGTACACCTTTCCTCTCATAGTCCTTCCTCTCTAACGTGCTCTCTTTTCTCTCTTTCTACTCTTCTATCATTGATTTAGATTGTTGGTTGTCAATTCAATTATGTATGTTGACACCTATTTAATTAAAACTAATCAAATCTTTTCTAAATCAAACTCTATTTTCATAAATATGAGTGGGTTACAAGTTGAGTCATGCATATATTAGTAGTAAACTAAGAAACACCGACACTTGTAAACTCATTAAGTACCCGTGTTCGATACGTATCCAAATTCCAATACTTTCCGATACATACCGGATACATGTTTTTTAATTATTTTATACATTTTTATTTTTCTTAATTTTTCACTATGTATCGAATATGTATTTTTTTAATTATTTCATATTTTTAAAATTATTTTCAATATGCATCCGACACGTTAGGACACATAAAGAAGAATTTTATTGGTTAGTTTGATACTACTATCACTAATTGATATAATATAGATTCATACCCATAGTGACTACTTCATGGTTCACATGCATTTTTGCTTCAAAACATCGTTTTGAAACTTCTTGTACAACATTCTTCATCTTGTGCTGAAAAAAATTGAATTACGTACTCTTTTATTTATGAGAAGGAATAAAATAACTTCACAACGAGTTAAAGAATTTTCATTCATAGCAATTTGCGTCTTTTATCAAGAAAATTATATCTCTATTCAAAAGGAGAATAGAAAATATGAGACATTGCCAAAAACTCAGTTAATACTTTTGAAAGTGTTGGATAGTTTGAAGTTGCTAATCTATCATTAGATGAGCCAGACTCGGATAGTGTTATTTTTAATGATAATGAAGAAGCTAAATGTTGATGTTGAAGAAAATGAAGTTAGGACAATTAAGGATTAAGATTAAATTCTTTAGTATTTTATTTTTATTATTATGCTTTTGTTTAATTTTTTTATATTAATGAAATTATGTTGAATTTTATAACACGTATCTGTGTATCCTAATTTTTTTTAAAAGTCGTATCGACGTTCTCGTATCGTATTCGAATTATGTATCCATATCCGTGCTTCTTAGGTGGTAAATACATCCATTTTACATAAGTACAATCTTGACACAACCAACATTATAAATGAACAATTTTCAACAATTAGAAAAAATACAAAAGAAAGTCAACCTAAGGTTCAAGCCACGAAAAGAATTGGAGCCACATTACCATCCCAACCTGTAGAAATCCCGAGATTAAGGGATTGATTTGTATTGATTGTATAACCTAATTTAGA